TTGACAAATTTCCCTGGCTGCTGTTCAGATTCTGGCTTGAATACGTTCTTGGAAATGAGGAAATAATCGACAGGCAAAATATTAGGAATTAATTCATTCCGTTTCGCTCATTCGGCGTTGAAAAAATGGATTCAAGGTTATCAGAACTTGTCCAAGATTGCATACTTGGGTGGGGGAAGAGCTACTGCTCCCGTAACGCACCAGACTTTCCCAAAATTATCAGGGGACAAAAGGGTCACAGACTTATTTCACATATCTGTAGAAGTGTGACTACCTTCTGTAAGATGTGGAAAAAGCATGGCGTTTCCAGCAGCTTCTCCGATCATCGACATGAAACTTCCCGAGTAGGGCAGCTTCACGCCGATGGTTCTTCCCAGTTCTCACACAATGAATATTTTTTGCATCATGCTGGAAGCCAGGGACGCATCTGTGGAGGGGGCTGGGGGGAGAGGAGGGTTGAATCCCCTGGCATTGTGACTGAGGTGACCCCTACCCCCTCCCCCCCCCCGGCTCAACAAACTTTGTGGTTAATCCTCCCCATTAGAATATCCTAGATGCGTCACTGCGAGGAGCTTTTGTTGATGGAATTCCCCGTCTAATCGCTGCAACTCATCGAGAAATTCCACCGATTCCAGTATAAATGCAACATGTAAAAAAGCGATAAAAAGCACGTGATGTGGTTGAATGATCGAGCCGACGGTCAATCGGTGAGGTAAAGTGACTCGGGCAGACCAGACGAATGAAACCCCTATCAGAGAAAGATGCGGTTTACGGATTTCATGATGCTGGAGCAGTTTCAATCGTGAGAGAAAACAGGAGAAAACACGATATATCGATCTCGATGGAGTCTTCGATCACGTCAAAGTCGATGAGATGAGTGACCCGGTGCAGTGACAGCTCGACGAGGAGACCCTCCAGTGAGGCTCGAGACTGAACCAGAAACGTACGAGTCAGTCCCCTCCCCCCCTCCCCCTTGAGTATCTCTGATTCCCGAATCCTCTTGGATTGCTCTGTCCCGGGCGACCCCGACTCGGCCTCCGTTCGATCCGGTCGAAGACGTCCTGCGATAGGTCGCTGTGTCGGTAGGTACGCGAATGATGGGATTTGAGGCTGGAACAATTGAGTCCGGGAATTTGTCACACCTCCAACATTCTACGGGGTATAAAGCAACCAGAAACGACCTTTCATAATTTTTATAGGCAAACCGGAAGACATATCTCGTTAAAACTTGAATACAACGTTCCATATGCATCTAAATTGTGAGAGATATTCTTTGTGCTACAATCGTTTGGGAGTAACGACGCATTAAGTGTTGGACTTCGGAGACAAGTCTTGCACACCATGCTCCTGAGGCTGATCGTTGAGTCTCTTGGCTGCACAAGCGTCGAGAAAAGGGGAGATGCGGCTAAGAAGTGGCTGACGGCCAGCACGACGCCTTGGGTCTGCTTCGGTCTTTCCTGTTTCTGCAAATGCTGCCTGGAGTGCATTGGTGCTTGTGCAAAATTTGTTTATTCTTTTAGAATATTGTGTTGACTGAAATATATCGTGTGCCGATCAAATACGTGCATTTGGGAAAGGGAGAAGGCATGGTAATCTGCTTTCCATAAAAGAGTTTCCTAGGAAGATGTGGAACGTTTCGGACGTTACATACTTGGAGTGGTAGGACGTTCTCTTTTTTTTCCGGGAATCTTTGACGCAATAGGAACTGCTCTCAGCCCTTTCCAAATGCACTCGCTCAGTTCACAAAATCCTGCAGAAAATATAATCTAGTACTGGATGTGCAGAGATTTACGCACAATCGCCTTTAGAATTACCGATAACGTTGGCATAATCGGGACAAAGAAGCCTCTCTTTTTTCCAAGCTGTGCAGTCAAGCAATGCGACGATTAGCTTCAGTGGCAGGGTCTGCGACGTCCTACATGTGATGTGCGACTAACACCGAAATACTGATTTTAGAGCAAATAAATGTTAACTCACCGTGAAAATAATTTGGGAGAGTACCATACCCGATATTTAACGAGATAGATCTAGTTTACCAATAAAAAATATTTTAATTCGCTAACGGTTTTTTCTTGGCAGACCCTGTATGTTGAAGTCGGAACAGGTAAATTTCGAGCAAAAGGGAAATTCTCGATGAAGAAAGCATCTAAAGATATTTGCAACAAATACAAAATTTCATCACGGAAGAAGCAGGAGTGCATTCAAAAAGTACTGATCGTTTATTTTTTTCCTTGGAAAACTAAGCCACATCAGCAAAATTCAACGTTCAACGCTCATCCTTCGGAATCGCTACCCTCTGTACCATCTAAGTTGCAATCTCATACATCATAGAAAATGATACTAAACTCATATTGAATACAGTCCCACCGGAAAATATAGGGAGACTTAAAAATAAGCCCTACCGTTTTCTGTAGGAAAAACACAGCTTCATGAATGCGCAAAAAAATACATTGGCTATGCGATCCACATTGAACGGTTACAAGGTGTTGAGATGAATGTCAGTTCTTTTTTTACGACACCCTGCCCAAGTCGTGCAATGCCCACTTACACTGTTTACAGGTGGATCATTTCACCTTAAGTGAGGTAATGTGAATCTTAGAATTCAATGATATTTGGCAAATGGTCGACTTGGCAAATGATACTTGACTTCTAATAAATTTTATTTTTTCTTACCTAAAAAGTGGCGTGGAACGGAGATAGAGGGGCGCTGCGGTCGACTACAGCGCCCTCTATCGGAATGTAGTACCATCTTGTGGTATGTGAAAAAAAATCTCTTGGACGCATGGACTTAAGTATCAGCTGCATCCGACTGCCCCTTGAAAAGTTACGGCCAATCAAAATAGAGTGGTGACTTATAATAACTAGGTAGTTAGGAAGTTAGCATGTGGGGGTGGGGGTTGGGGCCGTGTTGCGCCTCATGACCAAATTAATCACTTTCAAAATTAACAAATAATTTTGATTGTGATTAATAAATTAATCACTTTCAAAATTAATAAATAATTTTGATTGTGATTAATAAATTAATCACAATCAAAATCACTTTTCTCGGTCTTTGCGTAGACATTGTTGACTAATCTTAAAGTAATCTGACCGTTTGTCAAATTTAATTGAATACTGAGATGGTCAAGCACAGATGGTCCATTACCTCACCTCAGGTGGAATGATCCACCTGTAAACAGTGTAAATGGGCATTGCACGACTTAAGCTTGAGAGCTGAAAAAAAAACAACTGACACACATCTCAACACCTTGTAACCGTCCAATGTGGATCTCATAGTCGATGATTTTTTAATATATTTTTTTAAATTACATTTATGAAGTTGTGTTTCTCACATTGAACTCGGTATAACTTTTTTAAAATTTAAATCGTCCTATACTTGCTCACACAAGTTTGTGAATCGAGATAAGTCTTCGGGGGCATATCGACAAAATGCTCACAAGTGCCTCAGCTCATCGTGAAGGTCCATTTTTTTCCTTCCCCTAGGAAAGACGGGTTTGAAATAAAACCAGACTAGCGGCCTGCTGCCGCTACGCTGACCGTCTGTTTTTAATGATAAGAAATTTGAAAATGTTAGCATACCATAAAGATATGAAGCAGTTCGGTTCGAATCAAAGATTTATGGCCTAGAATGGCAAAGCCTTGTAGGCCTTGCGTGTTAGGCCGCGGATGAGAGACAACCATTCACCATCGCTTTCGGTCCCTTTCTATTTTTACGGCCAAGCCTATGGCCCAGAACGGCAGAGCCTTGCAGGATGGGCACTTGGGGCCGTGGATGGCCTGGCCTGTGGGGTAGAATGGCATGGCACCGTAGGCTTCGCGCGTTAGGAGTGACAGCCACCACAACGTTCGGTCTCTTTCAATTGACCATTTCACGTATGAATTTTTCGAGGAAAAAAAAATGTGCATTTTTAGATTCAACGTTTAAGGAGGTACTCTGTCATAATAGTCCAACGTTTCACCGCCAGAAAGCAACACTTAGAGATTATGTGCCCTTGAGTTGACTGCATACACCGAAAGTTTCGAGGTATGTGTACCACGGCTAAAAAACCATCATCATCGTCATAAAATTTGCCGTCCACTACAGTGGACACCATGCGTGAAAGGGTTAACGTATTAGATTAGATTAGCGTGGAATAAAGGCATGTAGAAATCACAAGCAACAACATGCCGCTATAAGTATTTCTACCAAGGTAGGAGGGTAAAAATATTGAATTTTGAATGCATCTTGCCTAATCCATTCAGGGAGGTTCACGTTAATGGCAAATAAAATTCGGGAAACTCCACGCTTATCTCATATCAGATGTGACAGCAGCAACAGAACTGTCCAGCAGGTGCTCCTCTCGAAACAAGAGATTTTAGAGGGAAGTCTCATGCGCTTGCAGGAACAGCTTCGCTCACCCCCGGGAAGCTTACTTACGCACTTTCAGAACCTTTCCTTAAATTCGATCAACTGCTTTAACCCTTTGCGGTCCATTTTTTTTTAGAGCGCTATGACCAACGTTCATGCATTCAAAAGTATCCAGTTATAATCACATTAAATTTTTTCTTCGAGTGTTGCTCAACAAACCCATAGAACTTTCCCACGACATTTTTCAGCGTCAGATCCTGAAGGACAGTGGTTCTTAACCTTTTTGACTGCGATCCAATGCTAGCTCGGCATGGTTATTATAAGCTTAGAATCCAGACTGCCGTTTTTGAGCATTCAACAGACTGATAGGAGGAAAGGCATGTTTGAGTAGCATTAGTGACCTAGACTATAAAGGAAAGTTTGGACAGTCACTGGAGACCCTTGGCGACCCACTCGAAATGGCTTGGCGTAAAATGGGTCGCGACCCAGGGGTTAAGAACCACCGCTATAGGAGCTCCTCCAGATTCCATCAGAATTCAGGATAAGCCCTTAGCACTCCACTGTCGCGCCCTACGCGACATAAACAGGGTGACAGCACATGGGGCGCGACAGTGGAGTGCAAAGGGGAAAGCAGAGGATGAAGAAGATGCGGTTGGCACAACAGAAAACAAGAGATTTTATTTCTGGTTTGAACAAAATACGACAAAAGGGGGATGGGAAGTCTCATGCTCCTTGCGACAACCCACCGATTCTGCCGTATCAGAATGAGGGAGCACTAACATGTCCTCTAGTCTAGAGTGTCTAGGGGACACAAGAGAAATGGACTACGGTTGAGATGAAAAATCCAAACCGAAATGAAAAGGTGCATGAATTTCTGGGCTGGATAAATGAACAGCACAAAATAGCATTTCCAGCTAGTCCCAAGGGTAATTCAGTAACTAAGAGGCACATAGAAGAACAGAATCAACTCAGTTTCTAGGCTTTCTTTTCAAATTGATCTGGGAAGGAAAGGAAAACCAAAAAGGCAAAGAGAAAAGTTCTTTACTGAAATTGGAATCCAGCGGCTCAGTCGTCTTGAGTTCCACCAGGAATAGCCACTCCATTCTGGACAGTTGCTTGTGGACTGGGCTCGACTTTGGCGTCATCTTCATCTTCTTGATCATTTGCTCGATAGGTGGAAAGCCCTGAATCTTTCGAGATTTCAGATCCTTCCTCAACCGCTCCATTCTTTACAGCTTTCCCCTCTTCCCGACTCTTTTCTTCTTCTTCTAGATCAAATGCAAGTGGACTCACTTCTGATGTGATGTCAAATTCAGAAAAGGTTTCTTGAGCAGTAACAAATTCCTCCACTTCACCTGTCCCTATTTTAGAATCTTCCACCTCTTCCTTAGCTTCCACGAAGACATCATCTTGGCAGGATTCACGAAGGGAACGGTTCACCGATTCGACCTTCAACTCTGGTGTACCAAGTATATGTTCCAATGGCCCAAAATGCTCACATATTCCATATCCTTTCTGGACCATCATTTCTGAAAGCTTAATGCCAACATCCAACATCTCAACCGTGACACGCTGACGCATGTCCAAGACCACTTTTGGAAATTCCACCAGGAGTTCCTTTTCACCTCCTCCTGTGAGTTCCTCAAAGGCCTCACATGCATCCATACTCCAGGTACCGGAAAGATCGTTCAGTTTCAAAGGCAGACGGCATGGAATGGCATAAATGGGAGCTTCCAGGAATTTAGGATGAAGTTGGTAAACTGAATTCTTTGGTATCTGGGTTGTGTTTCCATAGTCCACAAAATGGATACGGTACATCCCTTCTTTGTTGGATGGAAGAACATAGCCTCGAAAGTAGGTGGGCTCCATTCCAGATGACTCCCCATACAACGCAACACATGGGTGCCCTGGTGCCTTCACGGTCACCCTGCATTTCAGGTTTTGGCTGGAACAAAAGATAACTCTTACTCATACATCTAGACAATAGGATACACCTTCAATAATATTGATATGATATGAGTTCTTAGTAGGAAAGGTAGAAAAAGTCTGAAGGGCAGGCAGGTGGAGAGAATCTAGTTACTACAGTCAACTCTCGATAACTCGAAGTCCAAGGGGCATTCGAGTTAACGACACTTCGAATTATGGAGGTTTTTAGATTTTATACGCTGCAAAGCTGTACATACATGCAGTGTAGGAAATATATATATTTTTTTCCCGCGAACCAGAGGCGACAAATTGGAATTTCCTGGGAAGGATATGCAAGCGGACTAAGCGGGCCGCCCGCCCGCGCGTCTCCGTTCCCGCAAACCTCGTTCACAGGTTCGCAAGGGTTTTCCTAACCTGCGTACAATTATTCAGTATTCCAAAACGTGTAACACCTCCGCATTTAACGCATAGTTACTGGAAAAAGTCAGTCAGACGAGTTTGGCGTGTTTTCGCAGCACCTTCGCGTTCGCTGATTTTTTGCAAATGCGCGATTGCATTGAAAGAGGTTCACGCACAGTAAAACGACTTTCGGTTGATACATCAACCCATAGTGTTAAGTGTAGAGTATCCTCTCACCGACCTTCGGGGCCGGAATTTCCTGGTTTATCCCCTGACCGGGTTACACCTTCTGAGAAATAGTTAGAAGAAATCCATTTTATTCCCCTGAAATCTATGTGAGAAACCGCAGGGAAATGTGTCGAATGTACAGGTGACCCATTTCAGTAGAATCTGGGAAGTGACTCGCGACTATGACCACTTAGGCTCCATCTCATGCCGATTTTTGGAACCTTCTCAGCCCATTAACTGCACGTACGCCGCTGGTGACGTGTGTCGCTCTGTGAAGGGACGATGAATGGTGCAACTGCGGCATAATTAGGCCGGCTCAATTTGTCGCCGGAAATGAGTGAACCGCTTCAGTAATGGACCGATGATAGATCAAGAAAAAATTTTGACTGGGCGCACCCATGACTGGTCGACAGAGGGGAAAAATTAATTGTCCTTTTGGAATTTCAGAGGGAAACGTAGTTTCTTTGCGTAAGAGAGGAATTCGAGTTAACCCTTTCAGACCTGGCGTCCATTCCAATGGACATTGCATTTACATTGTGTCTATGGCAATTTCTTAGGATTCTCTTGACTTGGCGCTCCTTATTACGCTAGAATGGGCGCAATTATGCATGGCTCAGTTCTATCAGAGATCCTTCTTTTACCCATTAGTTTTGTAATCTTCAGTTATTTAATTAAATGTATAACATATAATATATGGTATGATAAGGTAAATTTATACAAAATATGAAAACTACATATAAAGCATGAAAATTTCAATTAGAATCATGAAAGAGCTCAAAAATGCAAAAAAATGATATTATTTCGATAGCGGCCTTAATTCAGGTCTGAAAGGGCTAAAGAGGTTCGAGTTATCGAGAGTTGACTGTACTAACAATTGGAATGTAATGGAACAACATTGACCAAGGCAGGATCAACACTAATTTTCTTTCATTCATTCATAGTTTTCTGCTGAAGCTGCTTTTCAAAGTTTTCATCTGAAATTCTTGCGTGGTTGGGTGTGAAGATGGCCCTTTCTATGAAGATGGCTCTACTGACCAATATGGCAATGGGGTAGTAGATTGTTCTTTCATTATAAAAAATAAATGGAACCCTCGGAAACATCTTGAAGTAGATATACAATTTAATCCACAATAAATAAAGTTACAGTAACATCTAAGTCTTCCTGAGAATTATAAATAGTGAACAAAGAGCAATTGAGAAATCGTTTTAATTAAGGGTATAGATACATTATGGAGACATAACCTCATTCATTATGGAAAAAGTAACAATCAACAGGCTGTATGTTACTTTTACCTTCTTTTCATTCCTATTAGAGGATTATATGGAAACGATGCAAATTAAGAGAAGAAAATGTAGTACTGCACCTGTAAAATTCTCGCAGTTCCTGCAAAAGGTGGCTGAGTTCTGAATTTTTTGCCTTAAGTTGAATCCAGAAGCATGTAGGACTCTGCTGGTGACTAACCCAGGCAAAAGCCTTCTCTCCTGCTGGCAAATTTGGTGCCTTGTAGACAGCATGCCTGCATATAAATAAATAGCACATTTCATTGTCTAAGTCAACCTTAGAGTCAGATCAATTGTCATTTTATTCTTGACATAAAATATTATTGGCTCATGGGCATGGAAATTGAAATCAGCAACATCTCATATACCTGATCTTGAAGGATGACAATAGTCATGATACATTGAAAGACCCCTGTCAACAGAAAGAAACTAATTATTACAAGACTGAATGCTTACCTATCTGACCCAAGGATGGTGTCTTCCCGTTCACCATTCTGAAGGACACGAACAACAAGTTCTCCATGCTTGGAATTGCCTACAATGCAGAACCACACTTCGCCGTCTTCCTCAGATAGCACCTCCAAAGTCTCCTGCTGTCCATCTTCATCTGCTGCATGAAATGGCTCATAAAAAACTAGCAATGAATTTATTGCAAGAAATTTTTCACCTATACATTCCAGCATTTCTGAGCAAGCTGGGAACACACCTTCAGAGCACTGGAGACAGCACAAGATGCCAAGAGCTGGAATATCATATAGATGATCTGGGAGGGGAGAGAGTGTCTTTCTTGGCATTTCTTCCACATAGCCATGATCCAGAGCCCGTACATGGTATGTTTCTCCATCTTTCTTATGGATCTTTGCCCGACACCATCCATCCAATTCACGGAAACTATACACCAATGAAGTCATGCATTAACATCACCAATTCAAAGCAACATTCCACACAAGAAGGAACATGGAAAAAAAAAAGAAGCCATCTAGGCCAGTCTTTGAAATCTTATACAGTACCTCCAGAATTCTCAGCTCCTTCATTGCAGGTGGTACACAAATGTTCTATGAACATGCAAAGCATTAATGTGCTCACTATGCCATACAGAAGTCTTGCTCATAGAGTGGAGTATCAGGATCTTCATGAGCAGCCAGAAGTTCCTTTGATATGTACTCCAGAACCTCATGATGACGGGTGAACTGAATGACGAAGTTGCTGGAGAAGATCTTCATTATGAGTCCTTGAGCTTCACCAAATGCTCGCTCAGCAAACTGTGAATGAAGTCCTCCATTTTCCATCTGCTCTTGTTAATTTAATGGAGATATATTAGAGCAAGTGATTTAGACTCACATGATGACGCTGGAATGGTGGGTAGAAGACTGATCTTTTTGCCAGGGATTCCTTTATGAGAGACTGGGCCAAGTCACTGCCATCCACACATATCTGGATGCCATATGGAGGTCCAGGAAACTTCACAAGAACTTGGATGATGCTTTTCTTCTTACTGAGCTCAGCGAGTGCACTTGCAGCTTTTGGATCCCATTCATCGATTAAATACTGCACTCCAGACAGAAAGCATGGTATTGCCAATGGAGGTGCCTTCTGACAAGAAGGGCGCAGGGGAGCAAGGTCTTGGGTTGGAACAGTCAACACTGCACCAGAATCAATCAAAAGGACTTTGGCCTCATCTTCAACCACAGATAGGATCATGGCTCGGAAATATCCATCATGTGATTCTATCAATTTCCTTTCCTTTATGGCACATAGTTCATCAACAGCTAAAACCAGCTTCTCCTCCAACAGTTCATGCTCCAACCAAGGCATATCATCAGAATCAAAAAGTCCATCTTCACATGCCATTTGGAAGAGGGCTTTGGCAAGGTCCTTGTTACCTCTTTCCTGCACACAGAAGCACCAGGGTGTGGAGACATGTGACACAACAACATCCAAGGTATCACCAATACTAAAAATGGGGGGAGATGGGAGATCACTGAGTGTGAGGATCCTCTTGATGCTCTCAGTTCTCATATTGGGCAGTTCCTGTTCACTCATCACTCGCTCAAGGACCAGTTCAACTATTGAACCTATCACATGATCACTCCCACCAGTTGCAGCATCTATCAGTTCATCAAGCAACTCACTTGCAGGACTCTGAGTAGGCTTAGATTTTTGTGCTAAGCCTGCCTGGATGAGGGTTTCAACCAGCATGGGTGCTTGAACTAAGAGCATTCCACCTACTGTTTGAAAATGAACATTTAATTGGAACTCTTCAGCAAATTCCATCAACTTTTCTGATGCTGATGAAGTCCAACCACTGCCATCAGGAGGGGACACTCCATCAAGTTTGGCTTCGATTGCTTGAGCTGGTAGCTCAAAGAACTCATCAGCAAGTATCACAGGATGATTTGGACTAGCCAATATCTCCAAGTTGCCAAAGTCCACAAGTCGAACACAACGTGAGCCCTCAGACAGACTCTCCACCACACCTCGATACCAGCAATCATCTTCACTGTACTTCACAGCACATGGTTGTCCAACCTTGGGGCAACTGATACTCATGGCTTTGCCATCAACATTGTAGTATTGATTGAGATTTTCAGACAAGCTTTCCAACTTTTCAATGGCATCTGAGGTCTGCAACCAGATCCGATCAGGAGATTCAGAATGAAGAAGATACACAGCCATCTCAGAGCCATCTGCCACACTTGGTTTCTTCAATGGTATCACACAGGACACATCTTCAGATTTTGCATTTGCCAAACCCTTCTGAATGAGGACATCATACACATCCAAGCTACCATTCTTCAAGGATGACACCACAAATTTGTTGCCTTTCAAGTATCCAATCAGCTTCACAGGTGTTTCTCCATGGCTTGTAAGCTCCCTACAAAGGAAAATTTATTCTTCTCTATCTTTTTGCCCAGACTTACAAGATAACTTCTGTAAACCAGTTAAATATAATATTTTAATCACTTTGGAGAAAATAAAGACAAATACGTCTATAGGAGAAGATACCTACTGCAAAAGCTCAGTTGCCTCCTCAGTCCAATGTGGCCCAATCGCAGGATCAAGAGCAAGCTGAGCATGCTTGCAATGTGGCAGGACTTTATCTGGAGAGATGTCTTCATCACATTTATATAGCTCACTGAAGGGGACATTGCTGGTATTACCATAGTCTACATACTGCACCTTCATGCCATCAGCTGCTTGTGACAACATCTAAGAACAGAAAAAAGAGACACAATATAAGATGGAACACAGATTACACATTCTAAACTTTCTGCTCGTCAAAACCTACTCTGGCTCGATAATAAACACCATCATTGGGGAATATGGCAATACAATGAGATCCTGGCACAGGAGATTTTATTTGGATGCCGTTCCCTTCTCCACTGTAACGGCTTTCTATTGTGTTCATGATTTCATTCAATCTGTTTGCCTGTGGAAGATACAAATCACCCCAATATTAAAATTTAAAATGTCGAAATTCTGAGTGTTCATCAGAGTAGTATAGATTCCTCAAAGAAAATTAGAGGGCTCACTGAGGTCACTTCCTGATACCAAAAGTCACTGGGTGATTCCACATGACTCACAAAGACTTCCAGTTCTTCCTTGGACATGGGTTCCCCAACTGCAATTTGCAAGCCATATTATTACAGCTGATGTGTCCAGCAAGATTCCAAGACTTTGACACACTCATGTCCATTCTCATATACGGGTGTCCATAAAGTTACTTCCATATTTAAAAACGCCCTATCTCCATTACGGAGCAGCCTAGAAACTTCATCATAGATGATGTACAACCAATGGGACTTATGATAATGAATTTTCCGAAGGTTTCCAAAAAGTTTCTGGATATCACCACCAAGGCAACGCAACAGTACAGAAACTACGTACAGTTTTCATTTCTAAAAAATTCCCTGAATATTCCACTAGAGCAAATTCTAGACTTAAATTCTAATTTTGACTGCTAAAGTTGTGTCCCTTCTATCTAGCACTGTCACATAATATGCTCATTTATGCTTCTATGATGCTCTACATAATGACGACAGAAAACCATGTTAAAAGTAATCATCCACAATCATTCAAACATGTTTCCTACATACTTTTCAACTATACACTACATTTCAAAACATTTCTTGGTGCTCAGTGTTAACTTATTACATGCAGTCAACCTTGCTAAAACACCACTGCTGGCCATCACTGATTTAGGCACTACAAGAAGGTGGCACAATGTTGAATGAACTGCAGCATGCTACTGATTACAATACTGAAATCTCCTCCGGACAAATTGACTATGTAGGTATAAAGCTTATATTGCCATCCTCTCTAACACCTTATACAGGGTGGCCCATAAGTCGCTTTACCATATAAAAATTTAATAACTTTTTTGCCATCAAATTTTTTAAATTTTTGCTTCAGATTTTGAAAATTTGTTCCCTGGAAATTTATTATGGAAAAATTCACAGTGGAGCAATGCGCAAAAATAGTTGAATTTTATTTTGAAAATCAGTGCTCCATTGTTCTAACACAGAGAGCATACATGCGCTATTTCCATGTCAGGAATCCGCTCACGAAACCAGCAATACGTCACTTGGTTCAACGTTTCCAGCAACAGGGGTCTGTTAGTGATTTGCCACGAGCTGGGAGATCATGTTCAGTACGTACGCAGGAAAATATTGAATGTGTGCAGCAGAGCATTCAGGAAGAACCAGGAACGTCCACTCGAAGACGTTCTCGCGAGCTTGGAATCTCACGGACTTCGTTGCAGCGCATGCAAACACATTTACACATGTACCCATACAAGGTGCAATTGGTGCATGAATTAAAGCCGATAGATTGTCAGCAATGGCTAAATTATGCAATCCGGATTCAAGAGATGGCTAGAGAAGGCAACAACTTTATTCACAATCTGATCATGGGAGATGAAGCCCATTTTCACCTGAATGGCTCTGTGAATAAGCAGAATACTAGGTTTTGGGGCACCAAGAATCTGAGGGTCATCCATCAACATGAATTGCACCCCCTCAAGGTCACAGTTTGGTGCGGTGTAACATCCGAAAGGGTAATTGGGCCTTTTTTGAGAACGAAGATGGCAATACAGTTACAGTGACCGGCGACCGATATCGAGCAATTCTGGAAAATTTTGCGCGTCCTGCAGTGGAGGACATGCCTGAGACATGGTGGCAGCAAGATGGGGCAACTGCCCATATGGCCAGAGCCACAATGCAGCTGCTAAGATTTTCAAAGAGCGAATAATTTAGCGAAATTCAGATTTCAATTGGCCTCCACGTTCGCCCGATTTGACAGCACCAGACTTTTTTCTTTGGGGCTACCTGAAGGATCAGGTGTGTGTCAATAAGCCCGGGACCATCCAGCAGCTTAAGGACAACATTCGGGAAGAAATTCAAGCGCTGGAGCCAGACATGTTAAGAGCCGTCATGGAAAATGCCATAGAAAGAGCCCGTGCTTGCGAAGCGGAAAGTGGGGGTCATTTATGTGACATCATTTTTCATACATAGTTAAAAAAAATTCCCATTTTCTGTACTTTATATTATTAAAAAATAAATACAAAAAATTAACAAACAAAAAATGTATTCAATTTTTAAATGGTAAAGCGACTTATAGACCACCCTGTATTTGGTCTATGCACTATCCATTCCACAGCTATGAGCCACCTCTCATGGTGGTAACATATTTAGCCGAGTTCAATGTTGCATAAGGGTTGCAACATGTATGCTATTTGGTGGAAAATTGAGGATTGACAAGGGGAAAATGCATTGTTTATAAAAATGATGTTGGCAGAAGGCAGCTTGTGAGAGTGGCACTGTAACAGGGGATCACCTATGGTGAACTCATGAGGAAGATTTGTACTCAGGAAAGAGTTGGCAATGAGGGTGGAGCTATAGGTAGTAGCAGTAAGGTAAAGCCATCCAAGTTTGGACAGTACCTAAGTTTAGATACTATCACTTGGACTGTTACAAAACCAAGCATTGGTAAGCTCTCTCTCAGAAACAGTTTGCAATTTGGAAGAGCTGCTTGAGGATGACCTTGCAAATGCTTTGCTTTATAACAATTTATTTTATGGGGCCCAAAACTTTTAGGTACTGTCTGAACTTGGATAGTTTTACCTTATATGGAGCGTTGACTGTATGTCACTTTCAGAAAGGGAGGGGCAAAAGTCACTGATTTGATACTAGGCAACATGCACACTGCTACGGCTTGGAATGAACTTCAACAATTGGTAGAACTCACCAAATGATTCAGGAGTGATGATTTTTAAACGAGCCAAGCCCTTCTGAATTAGGGATTGAACAATATCCATTTTGTTGTCCACAAGGGAAGACACTTGGTAGGTATCACTGACCTCCACTCCTCTTAGTATCATTACTTTCTCACCACCTTCAACAAATTCCCTAGCAAAAGATAGGTTTCTGTGACAGGGGCAAGGAATGAGTGCATGAATTTATGGCATTCCCGAGAATGAAAGTTTCATAAATCATCCTGATGAATGGATGGCTCTTACTGATTATATTATTGATTGATTGCAAGCACTTCTGATCAATCAAGCCAGAACATGAACCTACAAAAGGAGTCGAGTAGCATCGTTGGACCATTCCTTGGCCATTGGATCCAAAGCAAGACCAGCCTTGTGGGCAAATGGAGGAATTGTGGCAGCAGAGAAGTCCTCCTTACATAAACGAATCTCCTGTAGTGTTACAATACTGGTGTTTCCATAGTCAACAAAGATGACTTCGATTCCATTGTCTTTCACTGATAACACCTAAAGGGGGACCACTAAATGAGCAAAGAATCATATTGGCAAGGCAGCAATCAAAGTCATTTCTCCTTACCTGTGCACGATACCAGGATTCATCTTCATGATAAAGGGATACTAAGAAGTCACCAGGTGACACAGATGTGACACACAATGCCTGACCCTCAGCTCCATTATAATATATATCCATTTTGGATTTGAGTGCATTAAGAGGTTCTTCCTGCAACAGCAGAAAAACAAGCAGATGATGCATTCTGAATACAATATCAAAAGAATAAAATTTTTCAGATGCAATATACAAATTTGGGGAAACACTCACATCATGAACTAGCACAAACCAGAAAGCTGTTGGTGAATCAACATGGCTCACATACACCCTCATGTGGTCTTCTTCTTCTTTGCCTGTGTCTGTAACTACACCTTCCTCTGCAATTTGGAAAAGCCCAACTTTAATGACAGTTTCAAAACATGTCTTAAACATCAGCTGTTCCAGGTTATTGTCTCATAAATTCATAAGCTGGCTCTTACCAACTTTAGGTACTTGGGGTTTCACATGCAAAGATACCACTTGCTCAACACCCTTGTCAACCAAAGTCTTCACAATATCCTCCTTTCCATCACTGAGTGAGGAAACTTCAATGATGTCATCCTTCTCGACTCCCTTCATCTTCAAGATCCTTTCTCCCTCGCCAGTGAAGGTTCTAAATATAATTAATTCCAACATTATTTAGTTTCAAATTATGAATGAATCTCCTTCCTTCCTTTTGCTTGGAACTTCACAGGAAATAAGCGAAAAAAGAAGTGGAAAAGGCAGCCACCACAATCCATTAGTCAGTTTTGGCCAACAAAACTTCCTCCCAAGCTTATCCCATAGTGCACCTGACATGCATGGATCTAGAACAGGAAAGGCATTCCCACTGTAGGTAGAATGTTGGCAGCCTCATTCCTAGTCTGGCCAGGGATTCCCAGTCTCATATCCTGTCTTCAGGAAGTCAAGATCACATCCTCATAATTTAAAATTTTGAAGAAAATAAAGGCTTTGAATATAATTGAAATTTCATGGAATTTCATGAAGTTTTCAAGACATCTTTTCAAGAAATGTTATTGTACACATATTACAATTGAAACTCTTCTCTCGTCTCAGTCTCAAGGCATCTCTGACACAAAATGATAGATTCCAGATCTACTCCATTAGACCAGAGGATTTCAGAGGCTAGAGTAGCAAATGGAGACAAGTTTTTATGAAGACTGAAGCACTGGGCCTTGGAATGCACCCAATCACCCTGGTATCAACCATTTCCTTATAAGGCTGAGTTACACAGGCTCATCAAGTCAACCCAAGAGTGAAGGTGAGTTGGCAAGAGAGCTGGGAAGAAACAAAATAATAATTTTCTTAGTTTGGGACGAAGAAGAGAAAAAAAAGTGTCACCAGCAAAAAGGAATCAGGCTTTCCTTTTACTCCTGGTGCACATAAAAACAGAGGGGGCAGCCAACAAATATTTTACAGACCCAAAATATATTTCTTTAAAATTTATGCAATGCTTTTCAAAATGTTTACACTGTTCTGCTCACAAGCATACCAAGCGTTTTAGAATGCTCAATAGCTGGCTATGGGACAAGGCAACAGTGATGTTCCAAATAATCCACTGTGGAGGACATCATGTTCATAGGGCATAAACTGATTTGCATAAGTTGAAAATCATAAATGAAATTAAGAAAATTTTAATTTAATGTGCCACTCTAAATTTCATTCAGAAAAAGGAATAAAAGGGAAGTGTGCCTTATTTAGCTTTATTCTCCTCTTGCTGATTCTTGAATTCCATGAATGAATTCATGGAATTACCCTGGGGAAGCCCAAAGATAAAAAAGTTGAGTTTTGAGGGAGGAGAAGCAACAAATGATCTGAGTGGAAAATCCAAGAAGACTGACTTCCCATGGGAATGCTTGCCCAGTGAAGTCTTATATCAGGTCCATGCCGAATACTAATCTAATCCCACCTGAAAATTTGAGAAGACTCGTCTGTCCATTCTTGGTTCCCGGCTAATTTGGCTTTCTTCGCATATGGGGAAATCTTTGAGGTTGAGAACTCTTCTTTACATACCCGCATATCACCCATTGTGATTGTAGAAACATTCCCATAATCAATGTATTGAACTTTGACTTCTTTCTGATCTTCTGATGTCACCTACAATGATACAATTTTCATGCAATATCTGGCATGTGAACATGGGATATTCCAGCTCAATTCAATTAATGGGCTTTGAAACAACCATCTCGGGCTCTTCTGTTAACAGTTCCTAATACAAGTGTCTTTTAAGATATGAATTTTTTGAAACTTGTGGTAGAAGCTTCATTTAGCAAAAATGGCAGAACATTCACCTGCCATAACTTCTGAAGTTAATGATCAATTTTGATGGGATTGGTTTTACTAGAAAGGGAAAGCTATAAAGAAGCATTCTGTGTAAAGAAAAACATGTTCATTGACTCTTTTCAGACACTTGCCACTTCCTATTTGCTGAAATTAGCAGTAAAAGGGTTAAAAATTGCAAATAATCTATGTGCACCTGTAACTACTACATTATAATGCAAATCAAATTTTAAATTTTAGATTGAAAAACAATTGGTCAATAGAAGCTGAAATTTAGGAAGTAACAACATTTTATCATACTGACTTGTCATACTGAAACTGGTTAGACACACCAAACAAATAGCATAAGCAACAGATACCTGAGCACGATAGAAAGCTCCATCTTCAGGATACACAGCAATATAAGTCTCTTGAAGTGTCACTAAGCTGACATGGAGTCCTTCTCCTTCCTCCCCAGTGTACACAGCTTCAATATCTGACATCAATGTATTCAAGGTATCTTCCTGGACAAGGACAGGAAGAGAGCAAAGTGTCAACCACAAAACAATGAAACTCTTTCATTTCTGACCTGATAACTGCCTGTGAGTCAAGATAGCATTCATTTACATTTTTGTAAGTGTAAAAGAAAAAAGTAGAGCCTTACTCTGGTTTTATACTTGCACCAGCTTCCCTTGTTTCCACTGTTAGCAAATAACCCCCACCTCCCAGTCCCAGGAGACTAAGGCTCAGTGGCTTCCTCTTGAACCATGAAAGGAATTTACTTTTACACTGCTTTTCCTAAAGGTTATAGGCCTTGCACATTTGCCATCAAGACAGTACACATCAACAGGATTGAACTTAATGAAGAGAACAGGTGCACTTGCCTGCTAGGGACCTATCAGAAAAGCAACAGAGAAAGGAAAACAAACCAACAGCCCATTTCGCTATCTGCTCTTCCATGTCATGCATGATATGAAGCCATGATGAAGGAAGTGCAATTTCCACAGTGCTAAACAAATGGCATTCTTGAGAAGCAAGGCTCTAGTGTACCTATATAATTAAAAAGGGTCTTGTGGGAAAGTTTTTAAGTAGTTTGGGGTGATACTACACATGTTCTTGATCAGTTTTCCTAGTTCCTGCCAGGTCAGGTCTTCACAGAATCAGCTGGGTTCAACTAGCTGGGTAACTAGAAATGAACATGGATTGACAAACTGCAATCCTGATGCACTGAGCTTTACTGGAATAACAAACATATCCTTGGTTCAACCAACCACAAAATGATGCATTCCACAAGAAGCAGAGAACTCTCACCATCATTCCCAAGATGGCTTCATCCATCTCTCTCAAGTGCAGAATGCAAAATCAAGGTATGATTTTCTCAAGCAGAAGAAAATGGTATCTGAAGGCTGGAAAGAGAATGTATATGCCTCCAGTCGAATTAAAACTGGTGAATCATGCCACCTAAATGCCACTTCCATGTATATAGTCATGTATGAGGAATCCTCTTTCTTCTCATGCTGCCCAAAACTGATGCCATTTTCCAATATTTGAGTTTGAAAAATTCGGAAGAGTTTTCTGTGGATTCACAAGAAGTCTTACTTGCAAGAACTACCCAATAGAATGGAGTGCTTGGAGCTAGAGTTTTAGGTAGGCATGTTTATCCAGTCTTTAGCAGCATAGTGTAAGTGAGTCATGTCAGTCTATTCTACAGTGCTAAAGGAGCATTCCAAAAGTCCAACCAAAACTACATATGGGGAAGACTGATGATTCAAAGTTCAGGTTGAGATATTAAGAGGCATTTCTGTACATATTGACAGTTTAGTTGATGCCAAGTGCTCACTCAGTTTAGATAGTTCTAACCCTCTATGAATACGTATTTTTGGCAGGAGTAGGTCCATAAACTGTCGAGTCACTCAACTTGCATTGTATCTTTTTTGTTCTGTCACTAAATCTTCATCTTTTGCATTCTACATATTTGCTACCAAGTAAAAAAGCCGTTCTGTGAACTGAGCTTCACTATGGGCTCATACAACTTCCACTAGTTTCCTCTTGCTCTGCTGATACCTTTGGGTTGAAAACAACTACTATGCTCCACATTATTGATACTACTAATAATCCTGAAATGCCTGGAAGACATCCTCATCATAAACCTTCTCTCCAGTGAAAAAAGTCTGAAAGTCTTCTTGAACTTCTGAAAGTGTCCAAATGCTGCTCACATGAAAGTTCTTCAACCTCCCTTTTTAATTTTTGCAGCTGTCCTCATAACTCTCTCCACCACCATTAAAAAGTGTCTCCTTGTATCTGGCAGCCTCCAAAACTATATATCAGTGACAATACTCTATGTTAAGTTTTACCAATGCAACATGCCACAAAGCTCAATTTAGCAATGGAATGCTGCTTGAAGTCTTAAATTCATTCTCATTTAGCAACTATCACCTGCAAGTGCCCATAGAATTTCTATCCTTCATCAATGATGTTCCTGAAATCACACTCCTTATTCACCATCTTTAGCCTATCCTCACCAAGTAATTCTCACCCTGCCACTAACTTGTCATCACATGCATTTGCATCAACATCACCTCCATTGGCCCCAAATGAAAAAATAAGGGAACAGAATTCCCACAAATCTAAAGAATTCTTATAAATCTAAAGATACATTTGAACTTCTGAATTTCCCACTACTACTAAGATTCACCTTCCTGTAAGGCCCCTTATTTTCTTCATCACTATGGGACAGTGAACATTTTTTCACAAGCACTGATAGGAAAGCACTTCCTAAATAATCAACATGCATTCTTATAGTACCCACTTTTAACCAAGGGCACATCTAGATGTGGTATGATATTTCAGATATACCTTTCATTTGAGGACCCTTGATGGGTTGGGAAAAATAGCCTGTTTATTGCAGGTGAGATTTTGGTGATATCATTACTTGAAGGACAAAAAATAAATATAAATAAAACAGCTTGAACAGCATTATATCTTTGGAACTACTTTCTGCAGAATGCTGAAGCAAACCCTACATTCCATTGAAATTGAATGGAGGAAAGAAATCAATGATCAGAACTCACATGTTTGACTGTCTGGAACCAAAAGGCTCCAGGTGACTCAACATGACTGATATAGACATCTAAACATTCTTCATGAGGTCCTGCAAAGGGGAAAATGAAAATGGAAGATGGTCATCAGCTACATCAAGGAGACCTTTAATGAGAACTATAAGAATTTAATCTGACTTCTAACTTCTCAATTCAATTTTCAAAATTAAGTGGGAGCACATACTTTACTGATGGAAAGGAGCATCTGAGGGTAGTAGTGGGGTAGAGACAGAATGGGAAGTTAAGAATAAAACAAACCAGAAATGGTCGGGGCAACTGGGCCAGGTATCACAAGTGTAGATGAATGTAGCAGATCATTAACACACTGAGCCTTGGCTGAGTCAGTGAGAACCACCTGGATCTTGTCATCTTGTTTTCCTCTCACTCTGGCCACAAAGCAACCTTGATCCGCCAGTTCAGAGAATTTTGCATCTATTTGTGGATTTGATTGGATACCATATAATCCACAATGGATAACATATGGTGCCTCCTTTGCATGAGCTTCCAGCAGTAGACAGACCTGGCCCAAAGCATGAGTCAATGACATTCTTCAAAATTTGCAATGAAAAGCTTAGTGTGTACTTAATTCAGCCATGGAATCAAGCATAGGGAGCTCCAGCCATGCTATTTTTCATTTTATGCCTAGAACCTTCTACTGAATTTGTTTTTTGCCTTACAACCAAGGCTACAATCCCTGGAGAAGATGGACCATGGGAGTACACAACTAACCCTATTGACAAATTTGCTCAGCAGGCGAAAAATGAAGATTCATGAGCATGTGTCCCAAGATCCTTTGGCACACTCAAAAAAATGAGTTGGAAAGTGAGAAAGCACCAATCACATTTCTTTCGATTTCCAATCACATTTCGATGTGTGGAATAGAACTTTTGATGACCCCCCTCCACAGTACAGTAGTGCAGTTTAAAACTGGACACCAAGCAGCAACATTAAAGTTTATGACCATCCTGCAAGTACTATGTTACATGCTGCAAGTAATGCTGCATCCTGTATCCTGTATATTATCTACTTTGAAAAAGACCACACCTAAAGCTCCCTCTTGTTGCACAAGACAATGTCCAGAAAAATAAAAGTACCTTTTGTTTACTGACTAGCTCCTTGTTTCCATAATCAATGAAGAACACTTCAACTGCAGAAGTTGAAGAGCAAGACATCACTATGCCTCTATACCACCTTCCATCTTCTGTGTATTGTGCCGCACATGTCATCCCAGGTTCAGGGTTACTGACAAGATTCTGTCCCTGTATAACATGAGTTTATAAAATGGACAGAGTACACAAGGCTTTTTTCAAGTATTCACTTTTCTTTGAGAACTCACTTCAGAATAAGATGATTGGAGCTTTTCCTGCAAAGAGTCAATGGCATCTGAATTTGAATTGAGCTGGATGTAGAATGACGATACTCCATTGATGAAGGAAATGAAAACATCAAGCTCTTCCCCCACTGAAGGTTGAAATGATGTAGGAAGGATTACTGGGGCTGTACAAAGGTAAGGAACAATGGCAAGAATGACAATGTGATACAACACAGTATAGATGGAGTTGTGTCTTCAGTTTCTCAGGGGTTTCATAAAAACTAGAGATAAACTTTTATCATAACTTTCCCAAGTTTTCTGGTTCATGGATAATTCCCTTACTGGAACTTTTATTTCCATGCATGAACTCCTCTTTTCATGTAACATCAGCAACATCCTTCATTTTCATTCTTGGGTGATGGCTACTTTGACTTCATTTCTCTGGTTTATCCCTTTTCCAGTTCAAATCTCACAAGCAGATTTAGACAGGTACATGCACTTATAAGAAATAATTACCAGGTATTTCATGCATTCTTCTGAAATATTGGCCATTTTTGAAAAGTAAGTAGAGGAGGTGAATCTTACATTTTGGACTAATTGATTAAAAGATTAACAGTAAAATAGTCTTTGTCATTGATCTAAAAAAGAAAAAAATGACTCAAAAATTCCTTTGTGTGCCCCTATGTTTCATAGGACAAGCAGTTGAAACTAGGATAATATCTCACTGCACCTTCTAGCTGAGTGTGTAAGATATGAATATCATGCAATTTCTCATCCTTGAGATTTCAGCCATGATGTCATCTGACATTCATGTTGGGCATCCTAGCATACAACTACAGAAGAGTTAAGGAAATTTACTATCCTCATTCATATACCCACCCTAAGATCTCCCAAACTTTTAATATATTTTCCACATCTTTGAGAAGAATAAGTACAAGGTGGTCCATAGTAAATCATTATTTTTCAAGAGGCTGTGTCTTTGCACCCAATAGAGCAGACTAGGCAAATATACATTTTTTGGAAAGCCCTGGACAATACCTTTCAATTGAGCCTATTTTTGCTGAAAAAAATCATTTATCTGGACAAAGTTATGCACATTTAACTAAGGTCTGATCCCTTTTTTTTAAGTAATCAAAAACAGGTGAATTAAATGCTCAGTTGATTCTCAATCCAGCTCACACATATCCTCCTTTAGAGCTCTCATGGCACTAAAAGTTGATTATAATCAATTTTGTTGCAATGGAACACATTGTTTCTTTGATATCCTATTTGATGTTATCTGTTTTGATGATGCCAACTTTGACAGTGATTTCTATTAGAATGAGCTTTTGCAAAATGTCCTTGGTCCTGCCTTCAACCAAATGAAAGGGTAGCTTTTGATGCATTTGCATGATAAATGCATGCAAGGCATGACAGCCACTGAAGCACACAAGATTATCAGTCATGGCAAATTGCTTGGATGTGCTGGGCTGCTATACAAGTTCTAGGCAAGAAAAACAGAATTGAGTGTGTGTGGCAGTCTGATGCAATATATTTTCAGGAGATGAAAATGTCAATTTTTGAAATTCAAACATTTAAATTTCCAATTTGAATTTCTGTGATCCATGGAGATGAGACATCAAAGACACAGATGTCTATCCAGCTTTTCACCAGAGTTGAACCTCTGTGAAAACACCTTCAATCACTCTTAAAATATTTTTGGTTGCATGTGCTGGTTTCCACTACAGTCACAACAACACACAGCAAATCGAAGAAGCAATCAAAGTGCTCCATTGTGACAAAACAGGTTTCAATCAGCGTTTGGTGAATTAAGAGCTCAAGAGGAGAATACTTATGAGCTGGATTAAGAATCGACCAAGCATCTAATTCATATATTTGAAAACCTTTTTTGAAGACTTAAAGGATCAGACCTCAGTTAAATATATTTAAGTTTGTCCAGATGAGTGATATTTCAGCAAAAATAGGCTCAATTGAAAGAGCTTGTCCAGGGCTTTCCAAAAAATGAATCATTTGGATAGTTTGCTCCACTGGGTGCAAAGGCACAGCCTCTAGAAATAGAAAAATAACAGTTTACTTTGGACCACCTTGTATATCAAAATGCAGGATTATTTCTTCTCCTCCCGTCTCATTTGATTTGTAAGTAAAGTGACTACAATTGGGGCATTCAGCATTACCCACTTGAATGAACAAGCAATTCATGAACAACTCTAGCATAACAACATTTAAAAAGTCAAATGTAACAAATGCCAGTGTATGAATGAGGTTAGCAAGGTAAGCAAAGACACTCACAACTTTGGACTTTAATGCCATCTCCCAAGGCAACTTGATTTGCAATGAGACTTGTGGCAAGGTCCTGACCTTTGACCTGAATATCCACTTCCCAGTGCCCTTTAGCATCCTCTTGGATGAAAGTCACTTTTGTTGTACCCTCTTCACCATTCATAAACTGCTTCAATTTGTCTTGATTGACTGTCCCAGGTTTGATTCCTCTTAATTTGCATGGGATTGCCTAGAATGAAATATACATTTGTGGGATATCCAGCACACAAATGACAGTCTGAATGAAAGAAGGGCATCTTGAATATTTTGCTTGGGATCCATTTAATATTTTCAAAAGTTGCAAAATCCAATTGCCTGTGGCCACAGTGAAGTTGATGAAATTGTTGAGGGATGGTGTAGACTTGGCACTGCCACCAAAAAACCCTCTATGATGGTATAAAATTAACTGCAATGAGCTATGACAAGAAATCAAAGGCAAGAATGGAATTTCCCCCTAACCCCCACCACATTTTAGTTGAGTACTTGAATTTTCCTCTGTAAAAGAGTCACCTTACGATGTCAAAAAATAAAATGGATTTCATTACACCACCACAAGTAGTTCTTTTACCAAATTTAAATATAATAGCTCACCTCCTGGGTGTTTCTTTCCTTGATCAGCCTTTTATTCACTCATAGCATAACAAATGCAGAATTATTGTCAGAGAGACAGGTTAAAAGGAAATTGCTGATCCATATAAAGCATTAGTAGAACAATGTAATGTTTAAGAAAGGTTCAAAAGTTCAAGAATCTCTTGGACTACATCTACAATTTTGGTCACTATCATGGAATGAATGAGCAATTATCCTTGGCAAGGCTCATGCCTTGCAAGCTGGATAGAGTAATACATGCCTCACCAGTTTCAAGATCTTCATAAGAAATTTTCCTTTTACTGTTGCATAAATGCTCTCCATAAAAATGCCATAATTTCCTATCCTGACCAGCTCCATTCTATATGACTTCTTCAAAGATACATCACCCCATTTCAGATTTTATATCGAGTTGGAATATTAAGTTCCTCTACATTCCTTCTTTTTACATAGAGGCAACAAGAAACAAATATGAAGTCCACATTACTGAATAAGTGCAGGAAAAACTCACAAACTTAGGAAGCTGGAGGAACTCTTGTTTGATCCGTTTGACTGAGGTTTCATGGACAAGCTCCCAGTTTCCATAGTCAACAAAATGAAGGCCTATTTTTGGACCTTTTTCAATCACTTCTGCACGGTACCAACCCTCATCTCCCTCATACTGGGCCACCACTGGCTTTCCAACATGAATGGCTCTTTCTTGAGCTTGAATCCCTTTCAGTCCAGAATAGTAGCTCATGAGATCTTGCATCATTGTCTGCTCAGAAAATGTAAAAATATTAGGCATTCCAAGGGAATATCAACAAAATAAAGCAATATAATGGAGTTATTTCTTCATGCATCTTGCCTCAAATTGTGCTTCCATGAGTGTTGGTTGAACATAGAAGGATTGAAGGTTGATCACCCATGAAATGGTGGCTGACACTGTCTCCATTGGTGATAACTTCACATTCAGGAAGGAGTGGCTTGGTTCTGGGAGCTCTTCTTCGAAGGAAGAAAACAGGCATTATGAATGGGATCACTTTACAAATGCTGAAATGTTGAATCAGTATTCTCATTGCTTTGACTGAGACTCTAATGCACAAAGCAAGCTGCCTTAGAGGAATGGGCAATGAAAATTGTAATTGAAATGGCCTATAAATTGTTCCTGTACTTCAAAAGAGCATGCTTCTCCTCATGTTTCATGTAAAATTACTCTCCCATACCATATCATTCACTTCCAAAGTAAAAGCCTTTTTGACATGAGATCAAAAAAGCATTAGAATAATCCATTTAAAAAAAAATTTCCAACTCCCTAGAGGATACAAAATCATTCTGTTCTGTTCTGTTCTGTTCATCAACTTATACAAATATATATATATATATTTGAATCGAATAAAACTGATACAGAGATGCCTTCCCTAGCCAAAGCCACCCAAGGCAACAGGCAGGCTATGACTGGCCCCTAGCCTAGAAGAGGACAATTAACAAATATCCAAACAATGGCAGAACAGCCTACAGGTATGGGGCAAGGCTTAAGGAAGTTAAAAAGAAAGGACAGTGAAGGATCCTATCCCAGATATACAGGGTGGGTAAAAAAAAACTGGTCCTCTTCTTTGAGACCTTTTATTGACAGAAAAAATGCAAGAAAAAAAATTCAAACCTGACTACACGGAACTTCAATCAATTCTCTGTCTCCTGCTATAAAGTTTTTTCTAGATATTTCAAGAGAAAGCATAAAATTCAGCACCTGAAAAAAATTTGTCATGCAGAAAAATCGTTTTTCCACGTGCATTTCCTTGCGTCACCTGGTGGAGTCACGAGCCGGTTGCCGGCTTCGCTGGTGCGCCCATCAAGCACCCCACATTCCTATGACATTTCCCCCCTGCCCCCTTTATTCTCGTTAGACCGGTTTCAGTTCCCCCTCCCTCATCAAATGCTCAATCTGCCTATTCTTCATTCTTTCCATTTTTCATTCTTTTGATCAGCCAGCAATGAGCGTGCTAGCTTCGCCCTTCGGCCTTGAGCAACTTCTTGGCTGATGGCGTGATCGGCAGCTGCTCACTCCGCGGTCACCAGTTCTTGTCTGCGTTTCTTTGTCTTTTTTGTTTATTGTGATTTTATTCATATTCTTG